GTGCTATAAATCCACTATTATGATAATGGAAGTAACATTATTGCCTCCTAAAACAATGAATCGGACGAATTTTCAATATGACAAAAGATCGAACGCTTTTAACAACAATAAATTGCTTGAACACAGATTAAAATCTAAAGTAGCTTATTTTAATTAATATTTATCTAAAATGAAAAAAATTCAATTAATTTTATTAAATGTAGAAGAATTTTATATAGTTGCTAAAATTTTTATTTTAGCTTGCTTATATTTATCATTATATCGCATGAATAATGGAAGTGTTTAACATTTGCTCTATATATTATATGTAACTCAGTAAAAACGTAGCAGCGCGTGTCAAGGATCGATAAGAAATATCATGTCTAAACTTATTAGAGCTCACGACATACGCTCGACTGATCCGCGATATTGAAACCTATCTCGAAAATCCTGGCGCCACGATTAATCACCAAAGCCGCGATCGGCGGCGTTGACCCTTTTCTGTACGCTTCATGCCGCGTTTATCATCGTACTTTTCGCATGGCCGCACATTTTTCATCGCTCACGCGCATCCAGCCGAATCAACCAGCGGGCTCGCTCACTGGAATAACACAAGGACGCGAATAATACGAGCCGGGAATAATTCCGGGATAAATCAGCCTGTCTTCGTCCTTTAATATTCTCCCCGGTACTGTCCGATAATACAAAATCGCGGCATAATTTCGGTATAAATCGAGGGCGGGGGAGAAACACCATCGTCCCTTTAAAAGCCACGGGCGTTTCCTTCCTGGTGTCGGACGATAGGATTCCCCCGTGTTATACGACTTCCTTTTCATCGACAGCAACAATGGCGGTGGTGCACGTCGCCTCTCGTCGTCTCTCCAGAATCGAAGTTTGCTCTTTGTACACAGAAACACGCGCGTACGCTCAGCTCACACTCTTGTATGTACACTCCCGTGCACGAGATACGCGGAAAATACAGAAGAAGGTTGATGGATCGCAATTCACGCGATCTCTCGCGTTTATGGGCGTCGCGACAGGAAGTGCGAGAGGATGCATTGCATCCTCCCTTCACTGTTTCAAACCGGAAGATCAAGTCGGTGTGAAAAATTTAGCGGAGAAACTTGTAACTAGCCATAGGAATACAAACTACCTGATAAACTCATTAGGAATACACCGAAGGGGATGGTGGTGAATCTCGTGAAGTCGTTTTGAGTAAAATACGGAAATACATTGGGAAATGAAACATGCATGTCGAAAGTTAATATATTATTTATAGTGTCTCTTTAATTGATAAATATAAGTAGAAAAGTTTCTAAGTTCCGTCTAAGAAAACTTTTCTCATGCGCCACTCTCGCTGAAACTATGTCGGCGCCCATGATTCTGTTCTTTCTGGATTCGAGAAGGGTGCACGACGAGAGGAGCAGACGCCTCTTGGGCAAACATTTTTACGCTATTACGGGAATCCGAGACTAGATATTAAGCAAACGCTTACAGCTGCAGGAAATCACTCGAGTTTCACCTTACGCTATTCTGTCATTCTTTCTCTCTTTTTCGAAGGCTATCGAACGAAGAAGATCAAAATCTGCGATTTATTCCGCGAATTTTCATGGAAAAACATGTAATACAGACACTCGTATAAGTGACAATGCTAAATTCAATCGATATGACGCAAAATAAAATTCTCTCTTAAAAAATTGTATTGTATTTTCACACTGAAAAAAATTGCTAAATTTTGATAAATATTTGTTTGAATAGTACTAATTAAATATTTATTAAATGTAAATATATATTTATTTGGTAAGAATTATTTATCTAAGTATCATTTTTTTTTATTAAATATATATTTATTTACTGCAAATAAATGTTTCGTTAGTACTTTTTAAATAAATATTTATTAAAACTTATTAATTTTTTTTTCAATGCATGGTTGGACAAAGAATAAATTTATTACTATTTTTTCGTTAAAAAATGATTGGATATAACAGGACAATAGGAGTCAAGCACGGTGCAATTCTTGTGCAAACCAATACGGTTAACAAAACAACTTTAATAATAATTAATCCGCTTGTATGTTCGGCTCACTTTTGAGCCTCCTCAAAAACAATATGATGTAATTACAAACAATTTGTTTACAAATTAATTCATTTCAGTGAGCCATCTCCACCTATTAACGGAAACTATAATATAATATAAAAACTCTAATAACAATCTAAAATGTATTAAAATTATTAAAAGGTAAATTTATTGGAAGCAAAAATTTTATTGTAAAATACTAGAAGCTCACTAAAACAATAATTCACTATATCGCAAAGTATAAAAAAACTTAAATTCTATCGGTTTAAAACTAGTCTTTGACCATTCAGCGAATCAGTATCAATTATCTTGAAATTGATGAATAATTTTTAATACACCTAAAATGTTAATCGCGAAAAAAAAGAAAAAAGAAGGGAAAAAACTCTGATATTAATTATAGTCCAGTCGGACGTCAAAGCCAAAACTGAATCTTTAATAATTTAATCTTAATGTAACAAAGACTGTACACTAATGATTGCCCTGTTATATCCAACCATTTTGTATTACAATATTAAAGAGTCTTTAAGAATGAATTCGTATTTATTTTTTTATTACTGTTTTGTCAAATGTAGTAATGTTACAAAAGAAATATATTATCTCTCCTGTAATTAAATTCATTGATTACTATATGAGGAAGAAAAAGAAGGAAAAGAAATTTTATTACTTCAGCTTTATTGATTGCTACATGACTATTTTTATGATTTGTTGGAATTGACGTTATTGATACTTTCTGTTTTAATTCTACTCTTGCCTTGCCATAACTCTTGTCTCGCGTCATAAAATACATTTGCAGCACACCACAAATCAATCTAGATTTGTTTAGCGATATCGACCGTTTCTCTCATACCGGACGAGAGTTCGAAGAGCAATTCCGAGAGACGTGAGCGCGTTTAGTCCGGACGCAGTTGATTTATCGTGGGAGAAAAGGGCGGTGCGGCAGTGAAAGAAAAGGGTAGCTTTTCGACGAGAGAACGAGGCACTTCTGTCAATTACTACCCGTCGCGTAGGTAGAACGGTGAAAACACGTTTTATTCCCTGGCAGGTCGTACGCGACGGATAGATGTCACGTCATCGCCACCCTCGAGAAGCGATTACGAGGCAAACGGCGTCCCGTCTCGAAACCACCCTCGACAGCGCGTCCTCGATTCAACCGCATCGTCATTAAGTTACCGTCAATTAGAACAAATGCCAGGGCGAGAGCGTTCAGTATGAAAAAGCTCGCGTGCCTGTTGAAGAAAATCGGAAATGCCATTCGTCATTTGTCTACCCTTCCGAGAGAGAACTTTAACTACCCCCTGTACTTACGATGGAAAGTTTGTAGTTTCTTTTAAAAAAAAAGTTGTTATATGCACCGGAATTGATTCTATACGAAAAGTATCAAATTAATTACGTAAAAATAAATTTACATTAATTGTTTACATTTCTTGGTACGTAAAAAAATTGTTTAGCATAAATACTTAACTGTAATTAAATTTACAGTAATAGAATCTGTTAAAGATAACTCGAAGCCGTAATTCTCTCACGATCTCTTTCTATCGCGACATCAACGACTGTGAATAATTACTCGCGTGATACCTTTGCAATCCTTGAATCAAAATAAATCGTCCACCGTGAATTGAGCCACTTTCTATAATTAAAGGGAAAGGCCCGACTATGTGAAATGTGATCTAAGAGTTGTTTGACGGTCTTGATACAAACGAGAGGAGGGATACACGCGGTATCTTATGCACAGATATTCCACGGGGAGTGTCGTGATATCCATTCATCTCGATGTCCGTGTGATTAACGAAGAATAGAAAAAAATAATAAATATTAAGAAGGAGCGAGGAGGAAAAAGAAAGAGAGGTACGTGATCTCGAGTACGCTATGTACGGGGGTACGATAGGCAGGTGTCACGCAACCCCCCAGCGCGACGATTACGACGATTACCGGAGAGCCGGGAGGGTGGAGTCGCCTTTCCGTTGACACCGCATCACGAAACAGTAACCAGGTTATTTATGCCACCTCGTAAAACTTGTGGCGTGTCTGAACACACTAGTCGCTGCCACCCCGTCTCGTCCTTCCCTCGTCGCACGGGGACCAATCTCGAATGACAGAATGGGGGTGGTGCAGTCGTGCCTTCCAGGATCGCGACTGCCTGACGATGCGGACTTGGCTCGACTCGGGCTCGAAGGTTACGAGATAGGCGGCAGTAAATACGAATAGACCGACGTGCGGGATTTAATGTGAAATATCGCATGCCGACCGATACGGCGGCGATATATATTCATATATCTATAACGTTAATATGCGCAATCGTATATGCGGTGGCCGCGAGAAGGGACTGCGAGTCTGGCATTTTCATGAGTTATGGGCGTCGCGCGCTATTTTTATTACGTGTCGGCATATCGTCCGGCGGACGATAACTGGAATACTTTTCCGGTACGAAATATCGGCGCGCGAGAAGGAAGTTTGCGTTGAAACACGAGCGTATAAATGACTTCTTAAGAATTTGCCTATGTTAATTTTTTTAAAACTCTTTCGAATGAAATCTCGCTCTAAAGAGTAAAAATTAAGCCAGTCTTAGAAAAAGAGTGGTTTAAAAATTTTCAATTTTTAAGAGTGAGATTTCACTCTTCAGAATAAGATTCTATAAATTTTAAGTCCACTTTAACGATCTATAATTTACGATCAAATTCGGAACAGAATTCTATTTATAATTTTGCGTGTCTCGTGTAACATAGAAAACATTTAAAGAAGTATAAAATTCACGTATATACAAAATACATATATCAGGATACACAATTACACATTTATATTTAGGATATGCGATACACAAAATTATGAGTAAAATTTTATCTTGAATTTCGTCACGAATTATAGGTATCTACGAAGTGATGCGATGTACGTATATAAGATTCCTGTCTGTCGAACGATCAAATTATTTGAGGGATCTTCTTTTTCAGTTACGATATTCGATGGAACTGGATTACGATGTGGTGGGCGTACCAGGTGGACCATCTTCTGGGATGATGGCGTTGCTACCACCGAGGGTAAACGTGTCTGCCCAAGGCGAAGTACCGGTCACTCTGCAGGTTTTCAGGATCAGATTACCGTGCTCGGGTGTCGTTAGCGCTGAAATTCCTTTAGCGCTTAGATTGAATGTCACGGCTCCGCCCGGCACTAGATATAACGACACCGTCTTGGTCTTCAAGAGGAACAAGATCTGTTTGAAAGGTACGTGCAGGTGCATCCAACTATTGGCGGTAGCATTTCGCGCGTGACGGTTATGCGTGCTTGCAAACAATCGCTATGATAATTTAAAAAAATGTCCACAAGGCTAATCGCGCTTTATTATTCTCGTACATGAGAAAAATACGGGACCTTATCCTTATTTCATTATTCTTACACATGGAATTTTTCAGTACGATCTGAAATCCCGCGATTCTCATGACAGCCGTGCATTAACCGACAACCAGATCCGGATCCTAGATATGATTTTTTTTTTTCCGTTGAAGAAACGCGTTTTTCTTCCGGTTATTTTATTCAGAATCCATAAAAAAATCATAACGACGCGCGCTGTTTGTCTCACTTAAAATATGAAAATGCTAAAGTGTGAATTATTTAACTCTTTCGTTTAGTGGCGTTTTACTGGCGTAATTAACATTGTAACTCCTCTCTTCAATTCTGAATAATGTTTATGCGATTCTTTTCCTCTCCCTCTCGCTCTTTCAGATTTATATTTATTTAATAACCGTAACCCCACCCCCTTAATTAATCAATAAATTTTGTTATAATACAACATCCAAAATTGTATAAATTAAATAAATTTTTTAATAATTCATGAAACACGTTAATTAATGGTTACAATATCACGCTGGCCTGGGGATTTCTGTGCCTTGTTATTTTCAATGGCAATATTGATCTATAGTGTATTATATGAAGATTCATTTCAAAGGGTAATACTATTTAAGCTTCGTAATCTATATAACATATGTTACTCGCTTGTGAATATCCTGCAATGCAAGCGGTTCGCAATGAAACGCGCTTTTGTTTATCTATACTTTAACGCCATTGCAGTGTGTTGATAATTATTTCGTTTACGTAATCTCGGATTTAATTAGCACGTTCGCGAACCCGGTTGAATATCTTCGTTACGACGAGACAGTTTCGACGCGGTCGCGATTAAAACAGAAACGCGCATTCATTTCGCGTCACGCGCAAACTCAATTTATATCCATGCGATTTATAAACTCTGCTCTGAACTGATAACTTTGACGTCGTGATGTTAAACGTTTATAACGCGAATGAAAAGAATAACAATAACAGTTTTCAAAATGCAAAATAAAGCAGCTGCGAGCTAATCACGTTGATACGTCGATGTATTATTGAGAAGCAGCTCATATTCTGTTGCAGTTTATACTGGTATGAAATATACGATGTTTTTATTATAATAATATTATGGAGTACAATTGGTGATTACAATTTCAAAGTAGTAATTTATTTTATAGCAAACGGCAATTAACTCGAAATATACGTCGATTTTTGGGTCTTTCCTAAATAAATGTCATGGTATTATAAATGCAATTGCAAATTACGGTCGTTTAAGTAATTATGTATAAATAATGAAATTATATATACTATGTATACGTTCAGTTTACGTTATGCGGGAGAAATGGAAATAACGGACCAGGGCGAGAGTACAAACGTAATTTCCGTACCACTTCCGACAAGGGTGCTCGTAAGCTGGTACTCATGGTACTTCACAGGCAGCTCTCTCGTCTCCGCAAACCTCATGCGACCTCGAAAATGTATATTTCCTGAAAAAACAAACCATGCAGCAGCGATGAATGCAATCTGGAAAATAACCTTGATTTTCGTTCCTCTCGCGCCATAATAGTTTGTCAATACTCCATACAGATTTTGTGTAACTAAAGCGAATTTTTCGTGCAGCTTTCGATAAAAGTTCCGCGCGAAATGAATTAGAACAAAGGCGTAGAGTAGTAGGTACTATTTTTTTTTACTTTTATTTTCGTTTTTAAAATGAGAAGAAAATTGATTTCTAATATCGATTTCCGATTAAAACGTGATTTCGTCGAATAAAAGAGAGATGAAAGAAATGTATTTTAAAATTGAAAAAAATTCTTTGCATTTTATTTTTTAAACTGTAAAGAATATTAAATAGGAACCAAAAATCAAATAGAGATTTTTTTAAATTAAATACTTTTATTATTGTTATGATACTTTGTTCATTATACTTTACGTACAATTATCTTAAAACTTGGCGAGCAACTAACTGCACACCATAGTGTAATTGAATATTGTTCGTGTCGGAAAATACATGCATTTACGTGATACACAGGAAACGACCCGACGCTAGAGAATAGCAACAATAAAGAGAAAGAGACGAAAAAAAAAAAAAAAAGAAGTAGAAAAGAAAGAGCAAAGAAGAGAGAGAAAGCAGCGCAGATCCGGATCCGGTTACCGAAGCGCAGGCGACGGTACAACAAAAAGCAATCCGCCGAGTAAAATTGAATCTCGCCGGGGGTCGGTGTATTTAATGAAAGAGAAGAGAAGGCAGAGGATCCCACCCTCGCCGAAGATCAAGAGGGTCGGCCGCGTAGAAAAACGAAGTAGATGGACAGAGGTGCGCAGAAAGGCAGGAAGAAGGACGAAAATAAGTAAGCGCCTCCGCGGTGAGGACCTTAGTCGCGTCCCGAAGAGCAGATTTCCTGCTTTGTCGAATTTGCTTCTTCCTCGTTCGCTCCCGCACCGCCAAAGTACTAGCCGGGTTCTGACGAGTCCTTCGGCGATCGTTTCGAGCTCGAGAGGACCTGCTGCAATCTGAAAGCGTCTCGAGATCACTCGAAAATAATCGAATTCTCTATATGGAGACTCTATACTCGATCTTTGTGTAGAATTCCATATATTGGAAAATCCGCTGTCAAATCGAAAATAAAAGATTCAGTAATCCACACTTATTCTCTTAATCCTCAACTTCTACTTTAATATCTACAATTTCAGTCTTCGACGATTTCAACGGGCTGAAAGCGTATTTAAGTGTTTTTTTTTTTCACGTATTGGAACGACGATATATATCGTTTTCAATACGTGACATTTTCCATTTTTCGGATTTTTATACTATTTTCAAATATTCAAATTATTTTACATCTCAAATATGTTCAAAAAATGTTGACGTTTTGAATTATCGAGTATTTTTGCAAGTTTTGCAAGCGTGAACGTGTACTATGTGAAAAAGTATTGAAAAAAATATTTCGAACGAAAGTGACGCCAGTAAAAAATTTTATCTGACGTAATCCTGGATTTGCAATATTCAACATACGCGAGCGCAAAGTTTTCTTTATCTAAATTGTTCTCGATATTGAAGCGTTTTATTTTTTAGTATAAAATAAACGTATATATATATATATATGTATATATATAAATATACAAGAACGCGATGCACAAAAGACGTAATTCTGTGATTTACGTAAGCCTCTCAGCATGACCAAATTTGTTTCTAAAGTCCACAGAGCTCGCGGCGAATAAGGGAATGCTATTCGTAGAGGGTCATCCTGTTAATCCTCCGGAGACTTAATTCTGGGCCTCCGTAAATCTCGGTTAAGGTCTGTTTGATGGTAGCAGATAGCATAGCTCGCCCGGATTTAATTGAGATACGCAGTCGCTCTTAACACGCCTTCCTGACTCCGTAGTCGCTCTTAAGTCCCATCCCGAAGTTTCGGAGGCGCGTCTCGCTTGCGCTAAGTTACGTCGATAGGTACTCCACTGTTCTTCGAGTGTTATGAGCAACATGATCGATTACTTATCCTTGTTACGATAGCTTCGCATAAGATGAAGATTATGTTATCAGCTACATGATTTTTAGATGATATATATTGCACAAGTTATACAAAAATCGTAATATAGGTAGAACCAAAGAAGCAATCCCAATCCCTTGTGTCAAATAACATTTTATTATTTATAACTTTTATATGTGTGTAAAAATGAAAATCAATCCATTTCTGTGGTTGAATTGCTTATTGTTAGTTTCAAAATAAACAATATTTATATTAATGTATGCATTTGGTAAATAATACATTAAATTGGAGTCAAATTTAATACATTTCTTCAGTTAAATTGTTCAACACCATTGTTTTAATTGAATTACATATTGAGTAGGAACAATGACGACCTATACAATTAATTAAAAATGATTTAAATTAAATATAATTTGATATCATAAATTCAATAATGTAAGCGATAAAAACATAACAGGTACAGCAATCTTACGTAATAGATTACAAGTTGTAAGACAAAGTCGAGTTGTAACTACAATGCGTGTTCAGAAAAGCTAAGGAAGTATCAGGAAATATATATTGCGAAATCTGACGTAGTTATATAATTCTAGAATTCTCTCGCAGAAATTGTGGAAATCTTTCAAAGATACTTGTTTGTATTTCGGACGCGTCGTAGCGTGTGAGAGGAACATTTTAGGAAGATGGAAGGACTCCGTGCAAAGGAACGATGCGAGTTTTGCCCCTGAGAAACTGCAGTACAGCCGAAGACTGCTACGATTTATTTAACTTTTTCTTCCTGCTGCTTCCTGCGCACGTCTCATCGCGCTCGAGCAAACTCCTTCTCGTCTTGCTCGTCTTCGTAACTCGTGTTCGCGATGCTCTACTTCGGCTATCACGCAACCTGCTTGGTTTACGTTATCTTGGCAAAGGCAAGAAGCCTGTTTCCTTCCTTTATGAAACGAGGAAATGAGCGAGGGAGAAAAAATAAGTTAAATATTATGCTTTATTGCAATCAGTGATGTATTTATTAGAAAACTGCGTTTACTATTTTTATAAAAACATGAAAAAGCAATGCGACAGTAAGACCAATGAAATCCAAATTGAAAAGAATACATATTGCACAATTAATTAAACAGTTTATTAAACAGTTTAAATCAGTCATTTCTACGATATCGTAAAGTAATCAACAAGCGTAGAAATTTAAAACACGTTATATATAAAATATTCTCTGGCTGTATATGGACGGAATTATAATCGAAAGGTTCGATTACAACAAAGATTTTTATAATAAAAATGAAAATTTTTAAGATATTTCTTGAAACATACTATATATTAATGATAATTCAATATAGCATCAATAAATTATTAATTCAATCCTTAATGGTAAATGTTTTTTTATCTGTACAAAGAAGAAATTTCACGACTGTGTATTATGTCACGTCTTAATTTTCGAGGTGGAATTTTCTCCCAACGCCGCAAGCAATGCGTTTTTTTAATGCACTACGACCTACAGCTTAACATTTCAGAGAGTACGTTGTAGCATTTTTTTTATTTCTGTAACCAACGTTACTTACTCGAATGAGATTGCTCTGCAACAAAAAGCTGCGGCTTTCAAATAACAATAGAGGAAAAATGTACGAGTGTTGCTGTTAGATTTTAAAAACACTTAGCTTTGATTATTGAAAGAATTCAATTAGAAAAAGTTCTGCGTTAATATTTCCCGAAATTTAAAAACATTTTACATTTCAACATTTATTCAGCAAACGGAAGAGAACGGAAGAGAACTAACGAATATCAAGTCAAGACTCGTAATTAAAGTTTCCATTAAATTGACAGAGGAAAGTAGGTATTTGTATAAGGAGATATGACAGTTCCGTGATGTCTTGTGTATAAGAAAAAATTTATTTCGTATTTTGTGACATCGTTAAGTCAGATGCTCGTTACCTTTGCGAATTTGCTTATAATAACCTATTAAATTAAAAAGACTTTTTTATTGTACCATGAAATGGACTACATTTTACATTTTTTTCTCGTTGTGTATTATTGGACTCTTAACAGATTTATTAAGAACTTTCTTATGACTTTGTTAATTCTTGATAAAAATGACTCACAGCGTATTACACAGAAAGAAGAAAGAATTTTTTGTTAAGGAATTGTAAGAATGTTGTAAGATTATGTACGAATTTTTAATTTAGAACGACATTTATATTATTGTATGATGGCATTGAAAATGATCAATTGGAGTTGAAACGTTTGTTTTATTTTATTGTATTTTAATTGTTTTGTATTAAGTTTGCTTATCTAAATTATAATTTTTTTTATATACGTCATTGGCTCTTTGCCCTTCTTTTATACTACCTTTTGCTTATTAGTACAGAGCCTTTTTTATTACTTTTAAGAAATAATTATTTACGCGCGAATTGTAAACGAGGAGAGAAATGAAATGCGATAATGGCGACCTTACTCGCTTATGGTGTACGTAAGAAAATAAGTTGGCTGAGAATGAAGAGTTGTTTTAGATTTCAGGCAGGTAATGCCGATGAAGAAATGCATTTAGGGATTATACGACACTATAATCTCGGGGACGAGTTAAGAGTTGATGGAGTTTACTTAATTTTATCATGACGCTCCGAAAGGATGCGTCCCTTTCGTCGGCATATCCTAGTTGGAGCTGACGTGCTTGGTTCTTGAAAGCTTTTGAGCCCTCGCGCTAAAGTTCCTCCGTCTAGGCCACGTTATTTACCTTTATAAGAGACGACAAGGCGCCGCCCGTTCGATCCGAGTCTTTTCTTCTCGCAACGTGCACAAAAGGATAGAGAGAAAAGAAATATCAGAAAGCGAGGTACCGGCGGGAAAATGTAAACGCGTGATGCAACGAAGGAAAAGTCTCGACAAACTCGTCCTTTCAGACTTTCCCGCGAGGAACGAGAGAAATGCCAACTGAGTTTGACTAATTCGTCGAGATTTCTAATGAGACATGTATTTTAATAAAGCAACGTCATCATGAAAATTGCATCACAATGTAATTCGTGAAACCCGAGTGACGAGTAATGTAAAAATACTTGAAAAAAATATTCTATGGATTTTACAGTCAAAATAAATTAAAAAATTCGGAGTTTAAAATATAAAATAATAAAATATTAAATAGAGAAAGATTTCAAATACATTAAATTTAAATGCTATTTATAGTTTAAGCAATTCGTGATAAAGAACAATAATCTAACAATAAGATGATTGATATCTATGGCACGTGACCGCCATAGCGTGTGTGAAATCACTACGCGAGATAAAAGTAAATCGAACGAAATCGCGATGGTGGCTATACTTTCCGGAAAATTCGTGGTTTGTGGGCAACGATTCGCCATCAAAGCGAGAGTTCTGAGCATTTTCCATAGTTCGTCGATATTCCCGTTCGATAGTACTGCGATACGTATAAACAATGACTCGATCAGTGTCCAAGGGCTTTCTCCGATAGATTCGGATCTCGAGCACGTGGTTTGAGTGGAAATGCTCCAATTGACAAAATGGATTGTCGATACTATAATGGCGGTCATGCGAGTTTTGCAGATCGAATATGAATATAAAAACCTAACCGTTGAACGAAACGTGAAGAGAGTATACGCGAATTGCGTATCAATTATTTTTTTTTTATTGAAAATAAAATAAAATTAAAGACAAATTAAATTATATATTGACGTTGTTTATGTCATATATATTATTTATCCGCTCTTTGGAAAATTGAAGCTCGAGAGATACATACTTCAGCTTGACGCTTGACACGTTGGAAAATTTATTTTCGGAAAAATGAAATCAATATTGTTTTTTTTTTTTAATAAATTGATTCAATTATCTTCAATTTATTTATGACGATAACTGAAATTCGTTGAACGAAGCAATACTTGGTCCATTTTATTCTTGTTAATAAGACTGCGTAAGATACAAAATACGCATGGGAAATTTAACTACTCACTGTCAGATATCAAGTGGCATTCCAATCCCTTGAATTAATTAACATATGTATTTAGTAAATAAAGTAAATTTGAGGCAAATTTAATATTTTCTTCAGTTGTTATTCAGTTGTAAATTGTTTAACTCCAGTGTTTCAGTGAAATTAACGATATGTTGAATAAGAGTACTGATAACTTATAGACATAATTGAAAATAACTCAAATTGAGTTATAAATTGACATTATAGTGTCGATCTATATTTACAGGTGTCGAGACTCCTCCCAGCAATGATTCGGTGCGTTTGGAACCCGATCCGCTGGCGAATGGTGCCGGTGCACTTTATGTCGCTGCTACCTGTGCTTGCGCCTTAATTTTGGTCGTCGGCAGTGTTGCCAGCGCGTTATACATTCGCAACAGTAAGGCACGAGTTCAAGAATCTCAGTAAGTAAAATTTTATCAGTGAACATTATTATATTTGATAAGATTTAAGCAGCGCGCATTTACTCGAATACCGCACATTAAACGTTGTTGCATCTTCATCTCCCGTTTCCGCATTTAAACTGCAGTCCAGATTAAAAAGATGGGGGGAGGTCTAAGAAATTACAAAAGAATAAAAGATTTTTAAAATGTAAGCCACCGGTGGAATGGTTCAGTTCCGTAAATTCCTCGTCTTAATCTTTGCTTCGTTAGAATTAACAAAAGTGCATATTATTAAAAACGCGATGGTAAAACAAGTAACGAGATAGTAATAAATTCGCAAAAGCACATTACCGGTGGATCGCGGTTTTTTTCGAGCGACGTCCGCGCGAGAGAAAGAAAGCGACATAGCGGAATAACGTGGACGCCATCCGGCTTCTCGTTCTGCCGCTTATTAAATTCGCGTTTCTAAAGATCGCGCTCGGTCGCACACAAAAATAAACGCGCTCGAGGAAAAGATTTTCATTACGTAAGACGTCACCGTAAGACGACGCGTCGTAAATGCGACTTTTCCACGTACCACGCTCTCATTTTCGGCGAAATCATTCGAGCGAAAAGTATCGCGGGCGCGAGTTTCGCGACGTCGCGAATTTTCTGCCGAGCATGAGAGATATACCCGACGCTGCGACCGCAAAACCAGTCGAGGGGGTGCAAAGGGAGAGCGACAGAAAGATTTCCGCAACCCCGCGGGAAATTCGCGTGGATAAGCTGGATAGGAGGAACTCGTCCGAATGAAATATCCTTTCAATAAGCCGCCGGTGATCCGTCGGTCGCTTGGCACGGCAGCCGACATTTTATTGCATAGCTATGTGCACCCCCTTTCTCGTATCCGGGATCTTCTGCGGGAGAGAATGTAAGGAGGATGTTAGAAGGGTCGAGAGGATCCGCTTTTATCTCTCTTCTCATATTCGTTGTTTTCTTTTTTGCTCGTCGACCGCTCTTTACCGCACAAGTACATGCACAAGTTGAATCTCAAGTAGACTCGATGGTACCATTTTCTCAAATTAACGTGTTCAATTTTCCAGATCAAATTATATGCGTTCGATTTTTTTTTTTTGAGATTACATTGATAATTATAACATTACGTACATTGTTAAATGAAAATATATAGCGTCAAGTTCAATCATTGTTTTACTATAAAATAATAATATATTGAGTAAGACCAGTGGCGACTTCAATTCGATTAAATTTGACACTATAGATTTAACAGTGCAACATTCGTAAAAAAACCTTTAGTAAAAAAAAACCTTTTTTTCGTTACATTTTCATTCTGTTCTCCACTTAAGACACGAAAATATAATCTTTTTCTTATTTTATATTTATATGGAGTAATGAATTTTCATTACGATAAGATAGAATAACTTTTATACGTGTTTCTAATTTTTCCCGTGTTTAAATATTTTAAATCCTTTTTCATCCTTTAATAGGATTGCCCCTCGTTTTTCCGTCTACTGATTGTCTTTGCCCGAATATATTGAGCCCTCTGAAAATCCTCATCATGAATTTTTCTCGTTAAACGAGCGGATCGCCATTCTAGCGCCATTCCCCTCATTAACGATGAATATTATGCGAAAACTTCTATCCGCCTACCTTTAAAGTTCGATCGTTACTTTCACTGTAATTATTTTATACTTTAGCACATCGAGTGTTCCATTTCAGTGCCTCTATTTCGAGGTGCATAACCGAGGAACTTGAATGAGATAGAAACCATGCTGCCAGGGAGTTACGATAGAAACAAAGCTACTCTTGCTTCACTTTACTGCCATTACCTTCCCTTCCCCTATTGTTTGTCTCAAAGAGGGAGAATTGTCTTTTACCCGGATATTTATTAGCTCTTTTGATGTTCTCCGTTGCGAATTTTTCTCGTTAAACGGTAAGGAGAGGGATTTGTTCTTTCTACGAACTTTGCTAGTATTGTTATATATTTATTTCGTATTTATATGAAGTACTTATCGCACATCCTTTCTTTTCTATGATAATTAATAACATCGTTATTTAAAAAATTTAATTATCATCGTAGACAGAAAACTTTTCGATATATACAGGTAAAGCAATAGAAAATAATGTTTTATTGTACATAAATACTCGATAAAATTATTATAATTGCTTTTAAAGGACAAAAGGATTTGACTCTCATTGTTCTAATCGATCTCTGTATTGGACTACGCGAAAACGTAATGTATAGAAAAATTTATTACGTTGACTCCGGTTTTATTTTTCGCGAGATTGAAATATTACACGGCGATCTGTCGCAGAATTGAAATCCCACCATGGCACTGACCGTAGCATACGAAAAAGAAAGCAACAGATGTTCGCTCGAACAAACAACACGCAATTGGTCGGTGCGTGATACGAATGCGATCGAATGCGATCATCTGTAACAATGTGATCT